ATTCCAAGTCTTGCAGTGGGTAAAAAAAAAAGAAAAGAAAAAAGAAAAGAAAAATAATAATAAAAAAACTGGCAAAAAAGATTGGGAACTTTTCATCCCATTCCGGAATTCCGGAAAGCCTTTTGTCCAGGCTGTGGCTGGTTTTGTCCCTCCCTCAACAGCGAGGGAGGGAAGATCAGGTGAAGATCAAATTTCATTACTCTTAAACATGAGCCCAGGGACTTCACTGGGAAATGGTCATCCATAAGCCAGGCTCTGAAGCAGTGCGGTCCATGTTCATGTGTGGTGCTTTCCATTTGGTGGGAAATGGCAATATTGGAATGGTGGCACAAAACCTAAAATTTTGGTATTTCCAGCTTCCACAGGAGTTGCTGGTTTGAGCTGAGATAAAATTTTGTCACAGTAGCTTGTGTGGGGCTGTGTTTTGGGTTTATTATAGCAATGTTGATGACACAGGGATGTTTTACCTATTGGTGAACAGTGCTTACAGAGTGTCAACATCTTTCCTGTTTCTCACACCACCGCATCAGTGAGTGGGCTGGGGCTGTGCATGAGGTTGGGAGGGGAAGAAGTTGGGACAGCTGACTCCATTTGACAAAAGGGTTATTCCATAACATATGATGTCATGTCCAGCAATAAAATGGAGTGCGAGGGGAGTGGGTGAAAGGTGTTTGGGGACTGGCTGGACATCAGTCAATTGGTGGTGAGCAATTGTTTCCTTTTGCATCACTGTTTACTTGTGGTTCCCTCCCTACTTCCTTTTCTTTTTTTCCCCTCATTTAAAAAAATAAACTCTGGCAGCTCAGAAGGGCAACCATATCCTGGGTTGCATCAAAAGCAGCATGGCCAGCAGAGCATGGGAGGTGATTCTACCACTCTGTTCTGCTCTGGTGAGACCCCACCTGGAGTGCTGCATCCAGCTCAGGAGCCCTGAGCACAGGAGGAAGGACATGGACCTTTCAGGGCAAATCCAGAGCAGGATCACCAGGATGATCAGAGGGATGGAGCACCTTTCTTATGAGGGAAGGCTAAGGAACTGGGATTGTTCAGCTTAGAAAAGAGAAGGCTTCAGGGTATTTGAATCATGACCTTTCAGTACCTGAATGGAATCTACAAGAATGATGGAGGAAGACTTTTTACAAGAGCACATAGTGATAGGACAAAAGGCAATGGCTTCAAATTAAAATAGATAAAGTTTAGATTAGATATTAGGGAGCAATTCTTTACTGGAGGGTGATGAGTTGCCCAAATAAGATGTGGATATCTCATCCCTGGCAGCATTCAAGGCCAGGCTGGATGGGGCTTTGAGCAATTTGGTCTAGTGGAAGTTGTCCCTGCCCGCAGTGGGAGGATTGGAGCTGGATGGCTTTTAAGGTCCCTTCCAACACAAATCAGTCTATGGGTCTAAACTGTCTGCATCTAAATCCATGAGGTTTTGTACTTTTATCCTTCTGATTCTCACCCCTATTCCACTGAGAGTGAGTGAGCAGCTGAGTGGTGCTTAGCTGCCTACTGAGGTTTATCATTAGAAAAATCATGTATCTATCCATCTTTTCAGGCACACAGAAAAAGGCTAGGAACATCACAACCTATCAAGTGAATGAATTGAATGTGAGCCTGATTTTGAGTGTGTTAATAATCTTTATAAAGACATATTGCACTAAGCTCCTTTCTTTATAAATTAAAAAAAAAAAGAAAAATTAAAAAGAAAAAATATACCATGTATCTGAAATTACTTTGGAAGACCTGCTCCAAAAATTTATGATTAAAGGAGGATAAGCGCAGTGCTTTTGGCTTCAAAGGTCAGTCCTGCTGAATTTAAGTGACTGATGGATTCTCTTCACTGGAGGTGCAATTTTCCCCTGAAGAAATATTTCTTAAAGACCAAGGCTGGCTACCTGGTATTTATGAGAGAGTCCAAAGGGAATTACAAGCGGGGTTGTTAGGGTTATCATTTACTCAGTGGTTTCTGCCGATATTGTAGCACAGGGACCCCACAGCACTGCTTCTTAGCATGTGATAGATGGTGCCCCAGGTGCAGGTGAGGGAGGAGCGAGGGCAGCCCCCACCAGGACAAACTGTTGCTTTGCTGCTCCTGCTGTGAACCCGCTGCTTCTCCTCCAACACCTCAGCTGCGCCTGGCATTGCTCTCCTTGCTCAGTGATAATGTGCCTGGGCATTGGGGTGCACCCTGGGGAGATGCTGGGTGCACAGCTACCCACAGGAGGATTCTTTCCTTCCAAGTGGCAGCACGGTGAAAACCGTACGTTTTGTGGCTGCGTTTGTAAGGCCCTTGTTGTACACTGGTCCAAGTGATTTCTAGTGGTTGATACAGCATAAAATATCAACTGTTATGAGAAATACATACCTGAGCATGCTCCAGTGGAAAAGTGTGTTGTTTTGATCTCTCCCAGACCTGTAGCTGGTGATAGGAGCCTGTTAATTGGGTTGTGGTGCTAAAAGAGTGTTTTTGTGCATCTCTCTAATTCCTCCATTTTTGTATTAAAAAATACATTACTTTCACTACAGAAAATTATTAATGTATCTTGAAAATTTAATCTAGCATCCTTAGTTTTTCCTCTTGTGGAAAAAAAAGCATAATTGGGTGAAAAAATAGAAAACAAGATGGACTCTCCAGTTTAAGAACTTTTAAGTAATTGTTTTGCGTTGCCATTTTACTACAAATGGACTTAAAAATAACTAAAGTCCATCTCTAATTAAAGCAAAATACATCAGCTGGGTATGAAATAAAACACCTGATGGGATCTGAGATACTTTTTATGTTGTGTTTTGATTGCTGAGAAGATAATGTACTCTGCTCTTGCTGTATTCTTTCAGGACTGCAAGCTAGTTTAATGCTAATGATTCAGCTGTTATCCACCTGAAGAAAATAGGCTGGTGAGGTTAACTAAGGCTACAGTCAGGCATCAGTTGATGCAGTGTTGAATATGTTGCATATTTGGTACTATAAAGAAAAAAGGAAAAGCAATGTCTAACACCTTCATTAGGAAAAAAAACAAAAACAACCAAACAATTAAGGGTCCCCCACCAAAGCAAACAAACAAAAAATTTTCCTGGAAAACCCAAATAATAGGAAGTTCTCAAACTCAAAGAAAATCAGTGTTTAGACCCTAATGTTATTAATGTATCTTCTCAACTCATTGTTTATCTATCTTTGCCTTTGCTGTCCTTATTTCACCAATCATGTTTTTAAAGATGAAACTCCAAGTCTTCCCATTAATTAATTTAATTTGGATTCCTGGACTGTTGTGGTTTTGCAAGTCCTTATTGATGCATCTTTGGCTCTTCTACAATGCACAGATGTTGACCATGGATGAAAATATTGAATTCACAGTTTATGTCTTGATCAGTTCTCTTCTACTCTCAGCTTCTCTCCATTCTATTCTGAAGAGAAAAGGAGCCCTTTCAAGCTTTTGTTGCTTTTGATTCATACAGGTGGTTCTTTTTTGCTGTCCCCCTTTGAGTCGTAACAAGCCATATGCTTGAAACAATTTACCTGTTGCATTCAGAGGATATACAGTTCCAATGGCTGGAACAGAAATGCACATGCTACCTCGTCCTGAAAACCCACCCCAGATTTTGGATTTGGAACTGGGGTGGTTTTCTGAGACATACAATGACCAGATACATGACTTAAGCCTATCTGCAGGATCTTACTGGGGCTTTATTTTTAATATTGCATAGTGCCCTGGAGCAGTGAGCTTTGCAACGACTGTGGGCTATGGTGCAGGGGCTGGCTCTAGGAGGAGCAGGAGCTGCTGGATTCACAGCCCCCAGCATCACTTGGATGGCCTTGGCACCCCAAGAAGGACATTGAAATCAAGGAGTGATGGCAAAGGTCATCAGGCTCTCAGCATCAGCAAAGCCTGGGCAGAAGCTCAGCCCTTCATTCATTAGTGAGAAACTGGAGTGACAATGCAGCCTTTTTCCATGGAACATTTGTGGCCCCATCCACTGTCCATTGTATTGATTTGAATGAAACCTACACACATAGAATTAGGCACTTTGCCTGGTGCCCTCAGGAGAGAGAGTTTCCTCAAGTGGGGCCAAACATGTACTTTGTACAGGGCATCTTCTGACCCAGAAGGTCACCTAAGGCTTCTGAGGGACTCTGAGGGGATATTTTTAATTGTTCAAAGTCTTGTTCTGTTTTCAGGCTCAGCAAATGACCTGAAAGTGTGTTTGTATAAATGCACAAGGGAAAATCTGGCCAAAGAAGAAACATGTTACTCTTTGTGGGTCAGGTCCTGCAAATGTGGAGTCAGACTGAGTTTTGCTATTGATTTCAGTGGGCACAGGGGCAACCTGTCTGGCCATTTTGAATGAATAAATTTTATTCCCACATAGAGACAAAAGTAGCTGGTATTAAATTGAGGTCTTTTTGCTGCTGTGATATATATAAATTGTGAAGTTATTGTATGTTTGTTTAATTATAACCTCAAAGTAGAAGAAAATTTTCATCCTTTCAATGGAAATCTCAGCATAGGAAAAGAGGCACAAGTGAGATCCATGTAAATGCCAGATTACAGAAGTGTTCCTGTGTTTGGCAGCTTTGGTACTGTAGTCTCCAGGTAGAGGTGTATTCTACAGCAAACTCTGTGTCATGTTTCTAGTTACTCTCTGGTGGTAGAAATTATCTACTTCTGGCCTGCTTCCACATAAAATTAGGTTTTTGTTGGCATTGCTTCATCTGATCTTAAATTATGTTTTTTTGTTTATGTTTGTTAGCAGGTTTTTTTTTAAATAATCGGATGCAAATTTGTTTTCAAAAACAAATGGAAGAGCAGCACTACATCACCCATTTGCTCTTTGACAAGATCAGAGAGGGGATGGCATCAGGACCACCTCTCCCCGCCCTCCCCCTCCCCCCCATCCCAGCAGGTTTATGGGCTGGTACTCTGCAAGTTTAGGTGTTAAACCTAGAGGTATTAAGAACTGCAGACTGAAAATTCAGATATACTGTCTTTACTTTGTTGCAGGAGGAAGCAGTTTTTGCTGCAGGTCTAAGAAAGAGCAGGCTGGCATGGAGAAAGAGGTACGTGAAGAAAAAGCTGTGGTTTCCAAAGAGAAAAGTTAAAGGGACTATTCTTAGCATTGCTATTTCATAATATTATTTGTAGTGTGATGGGAGGGAAGTCAGCAGACGCATAGGCTCCTTTATAGCATTGACAAGTCAAGGAGATGATTAACGAGAGTACCAGACAATGTAATGGTAGGAGAAGGCCCACAGAAGTTAAACAAAAGTGCCTTCAGAATTTAGAGAATTCCCATGATCCATAGTAGGACCTCATTGTGCTTGTCTACTGTTTCTATTTTTGATTAGATTTATAAACACAGCACCACATATTTTCATGTGGCTCATAGCCCCAGGGCAGAGTGAGATTGACTGCGCTGAAACTGTGAGGCTTGTGAATTTCGGGCAAGGGATGGAGTGAAATAAGTAGTGTAATTGTTTTTGTGGAGTGACCGTGGGACCTCTTCTGTTCTGAATTACACATGGTTCAACCCTTTGACCCAACCAACCTCGGCAATGCCTGGTAGATCTCCTAAAGCTGTGCTGAAAGGTCCTATCAGTGACATGTGACAGGAACATTATCTGTCATGTGAGATGTGTGCCAACAACCATATTAAACTACATTAATTACTAGTGAGGCCATGTTTGTGACAATCTCAACTTCATTTAACCCATCATCATGTTAGTTATTGTTTAAGCAGGAAGTACAAATGGGGACAATTTGTGAAATCAAAATGCAGCACCAATGTTTTGTTTAATAAATTATATGTTTTATTTCCCTTCTAGTTTTTTTTTTTTTTTTTTTTTGTTTTTTTTTTTTTTTTTTTTTTTTTTTTTTTTTTTTTTTTTTTTTTTTTTTTTTTTTCTGGCTTTTTTGTTCTTGTCATCAGCTCTCTAGTTTGAGTTTTTTGAGGGCTTTTCTATTTTAAGAGCAAGCAATAAAAAGACTACTTCTTAGTAACTGAGCTAATACACCAGTGAGATTGTTGTTTCTTTCAGTGCAATAGTAAATGAAAGTTGACTGAAAGCACCAATTTGTTTTCTAGCAAGAAGCAAGGGTGCTAAGATAGTTTGTGCAGGGCTGAAAGATCACACGTGGGTAACTCGCTTGATGTGCACCCTCACTGATTTATTCTCCAGCTAATAAGGCTCTGTATGGCCACGCTTGCACACCTCTGAGCATATGCATGAATGGAGTGTACACTTCTTTTTAATTGTATAAAAGCAATTTTCTCATAGGTCTGACCATCTAGGTAGCAAAGCTTTCTGTGGGTCCTCAAAAGGCAGTCTGGCATGTAGAAATTCTGAAGGATTCTTAGCACATGTTTGCTTTCTGAAGCATTTCTGTGTTTTATAGGGGAAGAAGCAAAAGCTCTCCCACGTGCTGCTGTGTGGGCAGCGTGCAGGTTCACTCATGCCTAGCTGTGCCTGGTGTTCTATTAGACTAGACATACAGGGTCACATTTTCCACCTACACACCGAGCTGCTCTTTTACGACAAAACTTTTCCTTTGGCCTCATTGTCTAGCTAGAATAAACAAAGACTGGGATGATTTATTTATTTAGTTTTATTTATTTTTGATTGCTGCACAGTCAGCTAAAAACATCTTTGACCCTTCTAAGTGTCATTTGCTTTAGCAATGAAGAGTTTGTTCTCTGCAAAATCTAACATGGAGTGCTTAAAGCAGACAGGTGCAAATGCCAAGCTGTTTCTCTTTGGCTGCCATCCCTTAAATAGACAAAGTAATAGGCTCAGAGAAAGGAAAAGGTTCCAGCTCCAGCTGCATAAAGGAAAGCCTTAACAGGGACTTAGCAGCTGGTTGCAAGAATTAAATGCTGTAAATACCAAGTAATGCATTTGTGTGCATGTGAATGAATTCACAGAGGAATAAGTGCTTAGTGAAGCTCCATCCCTTTTTATGCAAGAGGATCATTCTTTGAAAACTGCTCTTCTTTTCGTTGAAAGGCTAATGCTCTCACTGAAGTGAATGAGAACAGAAGCCAACATACCTGTTCCTGTTTACCATAGTTACACTCCTCAGAGCATTTCAGACATTATTAGGTTCTTGGAGCCCTACCAGATTGACAATATTTCCAGCTATTTCTCTTTTGGCTGTATTCAAACAAGGCCCCAAAGGAAAAAAACAAAAACCAAAAAAAACCCCAACAACCAACAAAAAGACAACCAACCTACAAACAAAACCATGGATGAATCTGCTGAGCTAGTTTGCTGATGTTAGAAACAGTTGTTCATATTAGGAACACCTAATTTAATTTCATGAAAGAGACATAACATGCCAGTATGTGTATGAATCTAAGGTATGCATTTCCTAAAAGGGACTAAAACTCTGTCATTCCAAAGTTGCTCTTCTTTTTGACTTCCAGCTTGCATGGGGACTGCTGTCTGGAAGCAGTAACTTTAACTTTAACTCTAAGGCTGCTGATGAGGTCTGTCTGTGTGATCTTCGTAAGCAGATAAGGGTAGGGAGACAGCTCAGAGCAGAGCTTGTTTACAGCAGGACAGAAGAAAACAGCTAGACATAAATTAGGGCTGACGGTTTCATGAAGCACAATTGGTTGATCACAGATTCAATATGACTGCCCTGAACTGAGCGATGATCCGTACAGTATGCAAAATTCACTTTCTTGCTGGTCTGTGCCCACCAGCCTTCCAGCAGCTTTCCCAGAGCCCCTCAGCCACGGCTTTGAGTGGAACCAGAGCTGAACGCAGCATTGTTGTACCCAATTCCTTTTGACAACAATCACATTCTTTTAAAAACTTCATAGGTTTTAGTTGTCACTGGTTATAAATGAGGGTTTTTGCCGTCGCCATTGCTGCTGCTGCTGCTGTTGTTGTGGTGCTCGCCGCTCTCCCAGAGATGCGAGTGCTGCAGGTTCTGGTACTCTTGCTTTTCCTTTGTTTCCGCCAGTATCAGAAAGCAGGCGGTGTGTTTTAATGACGGCGGTGTGCAAAAAAGCTTTTAAAGGTTTAGGTCCCTTTTTGAGTGACATGGCAATTAGTCTGCACTGTGCTCAAACACTTCTAACTCTCCTTGTCTTTGCAGTAGTGCAGCACACTCAAGGCAAAAAGACATTAAAAAAATTAAAAGGCAGGACTTCTTGTTTTTCAGCAACAGTCATGGAGATTTAAGGTAGGACAAATTGCTACCAGCAGCAAGATCACCCTTTAAACTCAACTTTACAGGCAAGGGACATACCCTTTTTGTGTGCTGGTTGTGGATGGACAGATCTGATGCATTTGGTTTGTGGATGCAAGTTGTAACCCTGTCACCGCATGTGTAAACCAGCACAGCCTTTGCATCACTTGAGGCTCTGGCTTCAGGTTGTGCAACTTTTTTTTTTTTTTTTTTAATGCTTTTTTATGTTTATTTTGGGATAATGCTCTGTAATCAGAGTGGAGGCTTTTTTTTTTTTTTTTTTTTAATGCTTTTTTATGTTTATTTTGGGATAATGCTCTGTAATCAGAGTGGAGGCTTTCTGTAAGGATGTGTGTTCATGTGCATTTGTCTCGGTATGCTCACACAACTGGACTTTGCCTGCAAACAATCCAAATGGTCACTGAAAGCATTTATTTAATTTTCTGTTGGAAACCTAAGTTTTTCAGGTATGTACAAATTGATTAAAGAACATTTGCTTTAGACATAAATTTGCATAAATACATACATTAAGTAGTAGTGACTAATGATAAAATGAATGTAAAATGCAACTGGATAATTTCCTGCCTATTCTCTGATGAGAAGGCAAAGTACTGTAAGGGTAGGAGGATTGGGAAAGGAAACCTAAAATAAAAAGCAGAGGAAATAGTGTTATTTACACAACTTAAAATTGCTCATGTGTAAAAGAGAGAAGGATGAGGAAATTGGCTGGAAATAGGTATGAAAGGAAAATGTCTTCTAATTTCCTCTCAAGCACAAAGTGACAAGAACATGTGTTGATTACACAAAGGCCACCCCTGAAATACTCTGTTATTCAGCTATGTTGAGAAGTAACACTGGATGAATTCAACTCTGCTGCTGGAAATCACATACTGCTTTCATTCTAAAAAATATGAAAAACATATATTCAAGACCTGATCACATTAAGGGACAAGGGCATCATCTCTTTTCAGTACGTAGGGATCACAAGCCTGTTCCATTAATTACCTGAAAGTTCTTGTTGGCATTTGACTGAAGTACCAAATAATTTACTCATTTATTCACTGAAAAATACAAAACTTAGTGTTAACTGTATTAAATAATTAAAAAAAAACCAAAACAACCAAAACCCAGAACCCCTGAAAGATCCAACACCTCAACAACCTCCCCAAAACAAGACAAAAAACTCCCCAAAATTCCAAACAATAAAAACCCTAAAACACACAAATACATTCCAGAATCCACTGCAGTACACATCTTTATTATATATATAGGGAAAGAGGAATGCCTTTTTTTCTTCTTTGTGCTGTGAAAGGAGCTTGTGCATTTT